TCTGTCTGTCTGTCTGTCTGTCTGTCTGTCTGTCTGTCTGTCTGTCTGTCTGTCTGTCTGTCTGTCTGTCTGTCTGTCTGTCTGTCTGTCTGTCTGTCTGTCTGTCTGTCTGTCTGTCTGTCTGTCTGTCTGTCTGTCTGTCTGTCTGTCTGTCTGTCTGTCTGTCTGTCTGTCTGTCTGTCTGTCTGTCTGTCTGTCTGTCTGTCTGTCTGTCTGTCTGTCTGTCTGTCTGTCTGTCTGTCTGTCTGTCTGTCTGTCTGTCTGTCTGTCTGTCTGTCTGTCTGTCTGTCTGTCTGTCTGTCTGTCTGTCTGTCTGTCTGTCTGTCTGTCTGTCTGTCTGTCTGTCTGTCTGTCTGTCTGTCTGTCTGTCTGTCTGTCTGTCTGTCTGTCTGTCTGTCTGTCTGTCTGTCTGTCTGTCTGTCTGTCTGTCTGTCTGTCTGTCTGTCTGTCTGTCTGTCTGTCTGTCTGTCTGTCTGTCTGTCTGTCTGTCTGTCTGTCTGTCTGTCTGTCTGTCTGTCTGTCTGTCTGTCATTTATCTTGTCATCTATCTATCATCCATCCATCCCCACACCCTGCTTTTCTCCTCAACAGGAACCCCCAGGCAGCTTACCCTCTTTCTCCCAAGAGCCTTGTGAGGCCAACTAGGCAAAGGTCCACAGGAAAACAGGTCAGGGCCGCAGGCGGACCAAGGGGGGGAAAGTAAAGCCTGCCACTTACCACCCAGGGCGTGTTCGGTCATACTGAGGCACAAGGACTCCAGCCTGTTATTAATGTCGGGTTCTGCCACCGGTATCTGGAACTCTGTGGAGACAATGAAAGGGAACACTTGAGGCCAACCGAACGACACTGATGTGGCAGCAGGCCATTCGCCAGGACTTTGTGTTGTTGTTCGGGGGGCATTTAAATTTTTAAGGGGGCAGTTAAGTTACAGTTAATTAAATTAATCTGAATGCCTGTCTTTAAAGGGGGAGGGCTCCGAGCCTGTTTCTAGCCCTTCCTTTTAAGGGGCGGGAGAGTGAACATGTCCATTTTTGGGGGGGGGGGTGGAAACAGCTCCTGGTGAGTCTTTCAAAAGCATTCCCCATGAATATATTAATTTGCATGATTCCCAAGGGCTCATGGGAATGCTTTTGAAAGACTCACCGTGACCTTGGTGGTATACAGGAGGAGGAGGAGATTGGATTTATACACCGCCCTTCACTACCCAAAGGAGTCTCAGAGCGGCTCACAAACTCCTTTCCCCTCCCCTCCCCACAACAGACACCCTGTGAGGTGGGTGGGGCTGAGAGAGCTCTGACACAAACGGCTCTTTTTCGAGGACAGCTCTTGTCAGAACTACGGCTTGCCCAAGGTCACCCAGCCAAACTGGGTGTCAGAGCACCTGCTTGACATACAATAGAAGAACAAGAAGAGATTGGATTTATACCCCGCCCTTCACTACCCGAAGGAGTCTCAGAGCAGCTTACAAACTCCTTTCCCTTCCCCTCCCCACAACAGACATCCTGAGAGGGACGTGGGGCTGAGAGAGCTCTGACAGAAACTGCTCTTGAAGAAGAAGAGGAGATTGGATTCATACCCCGCCCTTCACTACCCAAGGGCGTCTCAGAGCAGCTTACAAACTCCTTTCCCTCCTCCTCCCCACAACAGACACCCTGTGAGGCGGGTGGGGCTGAGAGAGCTCTTGACAGAAACTGCTCTTTTTCAAGGACAGCTGTGCCAGAGCTACAGCTTGCCCGAGGTCATCCAGCCAGGTGCAAGTGGAGGAGTGGGGAATCAAACCCGGTTCTCCCAAATTAGAGTCCGCGCACTTAACCACGACACCAGACTGGAGTCAAAGGAGTCAGTGGGTGCTCTGGCCCCCAAGAGAACCAGGATGGGGACCACTGCTCCGCACTGCACCAAAATCTATGTTCGAAGAATGCGAGGTGGGATTTCCCAGTGTCTGTGGACCGTGGGCACACCCACAGTTTTGAAAACAAACTTGGCGGGTGGGTTTTCAAGCGCCAGATTTCTAAGGCGCGGCCTCACGCTTTCTTCGATGTAGTGTAGCCGTTTGATTTCACCACTGTCGAAGAGGCAGATCATCCACACCTGGATGCCTGGGCACCGATCCACAGCCCGTCTCCCCACAGTGACCCCTCTTGTTCAGAATCATGCCAGCTAATCTGACAAGTGTTAAAATCTCCTCCTCCCTTGGCAGACTCCGAGCGGGCACGACTTGGCTTGCAGCCAGCTGGCACCTGTTCATACTTGAGATGCAAGGGTTTTTCTTTAACGAGCTTTCTGAGAGCCAATGTGGCATAGTGGTTAAGAGTGTTGAACTAGGATCCAGAAGAGCCGGGTTTGCATCTCCACTTGTGCCATGGAAACGGTGGGTGACCTTGGGCCAGTCACACTCTGTCAGCCTAACCTGCCTCACAGGGTTATTTTGAGGCAACAATGGAAGAAGAAGAAGAAGAAGATCAAGAAGAAGAGAAAAGATTGGATTCATACCCCGCCCTCCACTACCCGAAGGAGTCTCAGAGCAGATTACAATCTCTTTTCCCTTCCCCTCCCCACAACAGACACCCTGTGAGGTAGAAGAAGAAGAGATTGGATTTATACCCCACCCTTCCCTACCCAAAGGGGTCTCAGAGCGGCTCACAAACTCCTTCCCCTTCCCCTCCCCACAACAGACACCCTGTGAGGTAAAAGAAGAAGAAGAGATTGGATTTATACCCCACCCTTCACTACCCAAAGGAGTCTCAGAGTGGCTTACAAACTCCTTTCCCTTCCCCTCCCCACAACAGACACTCTGTGAGGTAAAAGAAGAAGAAGAAGAGATTGGATTCATACCCCATGGCCCTCCACTACCCGAAGGAGTCTCAGAGCAGCTTACAATCTCCTTTCCCTTCCCCTCCCCACAACAGAAACCCTGTGAGGTAGGTGGGCCTGAGAGGGCTCTTTCGAGGACTGCCCTTGAGAGAACAGCTCTGAGAGAACTTGTGACTGATCCAAGGTCACGCCAGCAGCTGCATGTAGAGGAGAGGGGAATCAAACCCGGTCTTCCCAGATTAGAGTCTGCGCTCCTAACCGCTACACCAAACTGGCTCCTAACTACTACACGAAACGGAAAGAGGAGGAGGATGGTGTAAGCCACTTCGGGGGCCCGTTGAGTAGAAAGGTGGGGTTAAATGAAGTAAATAAAGAAATGCTAATTTTTGTAGAGATCGATCAAGATGGGTCACCGTGTTGGGTCTGTCTGTAGCAGTAGAAAAGAGCAAGAGTCCAGGAGCACCTTGAAGACTCACAACTTGTGGCCGGGCAAGACATGAGCTTTTGTGAGTCACAGCTCACTTCCTCGGACAGAGGCTAGGATTTGAGTCCATCTGTCCTTATATGCTGGAGAGTAGAGTGATTCCAGACGCCAAAGGACAATATCAGGTGAATGACAATAGTAGGCGTGATTGGATGAGGTGTTTGGGGGGGGGGGGGGGTGGCTGCTTTTGTTATTCACCCGCTATTGTCATTCACCGTACCTGGCCCCACTGTGTGGGTTTTTCAACCTTTGCTCTGTGGGCCAAGTTCAGAGTTAGATAGATGATAGGAGTGCAGGACTATTTGAACTCTCTTTCCTTTCATTTATTAGCTTCAATGGCCAGAGGTCTTAAGCCAAACGTACAAACAGCTACTATAAAATGCATTACATATAATTACAAAATAATCTAGACCAGACATTTTTACACTAAAAACTAATAAACATACTCATAAACAATATTAATAGACAACATTTTATAAGCTTCCACAAATTCTATAAAATCCCATGATATTATGGACATTAGTTTTAGAATTTTAAAATCTGTAAACATAAAACTGCCTACAGCATTTCAAAGCCACTTTAGAAATAGCACTATCGATAGATACTGTGTTTCCCCGAAAATAAGACACTGTCTTATATTTATTTTATCTCAAGAAGACACACTAGGGCTTATACCACAAATGCATAGAAATCCTGCTAGGGCTTATTTTTTGGGTAGGTCGTATTTTCGGGGAAACAGGGTATTTTGCCACCGAGCGAGTCGTTTCAGGGTCCTCATTTGCTAGCAGTATGGTTATCACCCAAGGTTCCATAGGGAGGAGATGTCTATGTAAAATAGGAGTAATCCAACAGGATCTGGGGTCAAGGACTATTTGAATGAATAAAATACGTTCTGTATCCTTGCATTTAGGAAAACTGTATTGTAAAGATCGAATGCCCAGAATGCATTTCCTACAAGGGTTGTTCCTTCTAGAAACGCCAGCATGTAACACTGCTGCCTTCTGGCACGGTGCGTGCAGAGATCAGAGGGTGCGTATAAAAAGCATACAGATCCCGACAACTATGGGGATGGACTTCATCACAAGCCTCCAACTTGGCGGTTTTAAGAGTACGCCTAAAACAAACCTTACTTACGGCACGTCTGAATAACAAAACGCTAACAGGCCTTCCATTTGGTTATCAGTCCTGTGTTTGAAGAGAAGGTTACCATCAGGAAAGGGAAGAAATGGGGCGGGGCCTACCTGGTTGCTGAAACATGAGCATCGTTTGCGGAGAAGTGTGGACCGGCAGCGAGCGGGTTCTCTGGACCGAACTGTGGGTTCTGCTGGGCATGCTGTTGCTTCCTCCAGGATTTGCAAACCAAAGGTTCTGCGGGGGAGAGGGGGAGGGGGGGAAAGATGTGTTAATGGAACTATAAGGACCTAGAAAATTGCTTCAAAAACACAGGCAACGCTGGAAACCCATCACATGGCACTGATAAGGTATTTTTCGGGTATATTTTTGGCTCAGGTAGATCCGAATGCATGTGCCCTTGTGCTACGCGGTGGGACAAGTTAAACTGTACAAATAGTAAAGCCAGTGTCCCTTGGCAAGAGCCTCTCAATGGCTGGATTCTCACCTCGTTTTCTTTCTCCATCACTAACCATTGCAAGAGAACATTAGGGATGTGCATTCGGTTCGGACGAAATGGGGAAAAAAACCCGAATAATGCCTATTCGGCATTATTCAGGCCTGCTTAAAGCCGAATCAGATTCTCTAATCGGATTCGGCTGGACGAACAGGGATTCCCTGAATGGATGCTGTATATTCGACATCCATTTGGGGAATCCCTTTGCTGGGCAAGGGGAAGGCACGGGGAGGCATTTAAATGCCTGCCCGCACCTTCCAGGGCCTCCCCTGGCTCACCCGCTTTTGCAGGCGGGCCGTGGAAGGCGCAGGGAGACATTTAAATGACTCCCTGCTCCTTACAGGTTCTCCTGATTTTCCCCGCGGTTTCGTGATCCTGAAAAAACAGGATCACGAAACCACGGGGAAAATTGGGCGAGGCCGCGGGTCAAAATGTGGCCACGCGTCTTCGAGTGGGAAATTGACCGATAAAAGTGGGGCAAAGGGAGTTGCGACCGTGGTGCAGCTCTTGTGTGAAATTGGTCTTAGTTCTGAACGCATCAGTGAGTGTGAGACCCACCCTCTCTCCCTTCCCCTGAAGCTTCCCCCCGCCACAGCGCTCCTCGCCCCCTTGATAGGACCCCTTTAGAGCACGGACGAGACGAAAACAGGAAATACCTGGAGAGTGTTCTGGCCGGGCCCCGTCTTCGTTTTGTCTCTCTTTCGATCTTTTTTTTTTTTTTAATTGAAAAGGATCCAGTTTTGTCAGATGAAAGGAGCTGGGAAGATGACTCGAAATGAACCTGTGGCAGCTAGGTAATTAAAGCTGCTCTCTTGAATGGAAAGAAAATTTATCTATATCTACTTTTTTTTTTTGTTGTCATCTCAGCCGACTTAAGGTGACCCCTCATGGGGTTTTCAAGGCCAGAGGCGTTCAGAGGTGGTTTGCCGTTGCCTGCCTCTGCGCAGAAACCCTGGCTTTCCGATTAGAGTTGCTAGCCCCCAGGTGGGAGCGGGGGGCGGGGGAGTTCCAATTTCATGGGCTTCTGCCCACCCCTGACTGCCACAACCTGGCGCGACTCCCCAGCATGATGACGTCACATGGAAATGATGTCATCACACTGGGGACATTGCATGGCGACACACTGGTATTTGGGGCAAAACTCGATGGTTAACAACGCTGGAGTGATTTGTTTGGAGGCCTCGGCCTAAGGTTGCCAGGTAGTGCCTGACAACTAGCGGGAGGATTGTGGGGGACAAGACAGCATCCCAGGAAACCCTATGGTAAGATTACTATAGAGTTTCTGGTGATTGTTAGAGACACCTTGGTCACTTCCGGGTCATTCTAGGAATCGTCAGGAACTCTGTGATCAGAACTTCCTGTAAGTCGATCAGGCCTTGTTTCTCTTTCTAGTTTTGTTCTCCCCAGGAGAGTCGTGCCTGGTCCGGCCCCAATTTCCACTTGCCGATCAGCTGAGCATCGGCGGCTAAGGACGGCAACTGGCTGGAGGTCTCCCACCATAAGCGGGCAAATGGGAACCCTACTTCAGCCTCTGGCGAAGCCAATCAGCAGCCTCTTCTGCTATTCCAAACAAGGCACACCCACTCCCTCCCAGGCCACTTGCGAACCAGCCAAGCTCCTGGGTTATCAGTGGAAGTGGCACAAGCCCAGGAGGGAGGCCAGTCATCTTCCGGACTGCTGATGCCTGGGAGCGAACCCAGACCTGATGCTGCCTTGGCACCCTCCCCACTGTGCTGCCACAAATGCTCGCTTGGGTACCTTGGCTGGAGAACTGGCCCTTGCAGGTTCCTCGGATTGGCCATTGTTGACACTCCTTAATCCATTGCCTCGAGTTCAAGTTCAGAGGCTCTTCCATTTTGTCATTTCCCTTGATTTTTTGTTCCGCACACGTTTTGCTCCCTCTAGTGGACAATTCGGTATTACACCACTTTATGTCCGGCATAAGAACATACAGTTTTAAATCTGCAGAAAGATATGCTGGAAATAAAGCAGTCTTACATCGAATCAACCAGTAGAGGGAGCAAAACACATATGCAAAGGAAAGCCCCCCACCAAGCAACAGGAACACCCAACCGAGGACAAAGAATGTGGGAAAACTCCAGGATGCCTCTTGCCCGGCCGTCTCTGACTACGCTATGGAGCGTTGTGCCCCCCAGCCAGATACAAACCTGCCTTCCTTGTTTCAGGATGGTGGGGTTGGTGGCTGCGTTGCGCTGGGCGGCTCCCAGAAGCCCACTGGGGCCTATCAGGCCCAGCCTTGTAGTGGGAAGATTCCGGGAGGGGATTTGGAACTGGCGGGGGTTCCGCCTGCCCATTCCTGCACCGACAGATCCAGCTGTTGGTAAGGAGCTTGACTGGCCAAATCCTCGGCTAAAGGGAAGGGGGAAGACAGAGAGACGGGGAAAGAGAGTGATGAAATTGACCGGTGAGTACCATTTTTTCAGAAAGAAGAAATTGACCAGTGACAACCATTTCATAAATCCAAAATTTATGCATGCATGCAACAAGCCCCACCCCCTGCTCCCAGCAGCCCTCAGTTGGAGCAAGAAGCAGCCAGGTAAGCTGCAGAGCCCTCCCCGCCCCGGTCCAAAACAAGCCAGTGGCACCTTTAAGACCAAGTTTTATTCAAGTACAAGCTCTCCCTCCTCTGCGAGGACAGATCTGCACGTTTCCCCCCCCCCCAATAGCTAGCAATCCAAAACAGTCCAGTGGAGCCTGAGCGGTGGGTGTTGCCTTCTGACACACTTTTGGTGATGTCAGGGGGTATGGCATATGCAAATGTGTTATGCTAATGAGTTATGCTAATGAGCTCCTGCACCACTTTTTCTCCGAAATGACCCCTGTTGATTTACATTAGAATGACCTGTTGATTTCCATTCCACATTGGTCCATCTTGCAGGACTTAACCCCTTTTAGACAAAGGGCAATCTGGTTTGGGCCAGACCACTTCTTTGTCGTGGGAGTTCAGAGCCTTTCCCAAGTGCCCAAGGGAGGTCTCTGATTGATCCTGTGGGCCTTCAGTTTCCACTGTAGACTGAAAACAATGGGAAATCTAGTATTTTTGGGAGAGGGACTGCCCAGTTATTAGGTTTTCTGTCTCTCACCTCTTATCCCCCCCCTCCTTTCCCCCCCCCCCCCCCCGATCTCTCGCCTCAGCACCACGACACTGGAGGCACCGGGCACGCCGTGGCAGCACCGCTTCACCCCCCCTCGCCCGTCTGTTTCCAAACCTCAGCGCCGAAGCCCCAAACCTACGCTCTTTGCTGTCGATATCCCGACAAGTCTAGGATGGATTTCCGAGGGAAAGACCGGAAGAGTTTTTGCACCTGCTGTTTCCATGACAACAGCCGTTTCTTCTGCGTCTCTGTAAAGGCCTGCCCCCGAAAGAGAGAAGAGATAAAGTGAGGTCTTCTTTAAAAAAATAAAAAGGTATCGTGGGTTATGAATGATACACCGGGGGGGGGGGGGGGGATAGGAAACAAGTTGCCTAAATCAATAAATTAAATGGCAGTGGGCAGGGGATGAGTATGAACTTACCGGAAAGTTCTAAGGGAGCTGCTGCCCAACAGTGTGGACCGAGACGACTAAAGAACATCAGAAGAGCCCTGCTGGATCAGACCAGTGGTCTATCTAGTCCAGCATCCTGTCTCACACAGCGGCCAACCAGTTCCTCTGGAGGGTCAACAACAGGCATAGAAGGTTCACTAGAACATCAGAAGAGCCCTGCTGGATCAGACCAATGGTCCATCTAGCCCAACCTCCTGTCTTACACGGTGGCCAACTGGTTCCTCTGGAGGGCCAACAACAGGGCAGAGAGGCCGAGGCCGTCCCCTGATAAGAACATCAGAAGAGCCCTGCCAGATTAGCCCAGCATCCTGTCTCACATAATGGCCAACCAGTTCCTCTGGAAGGCCAACAACAGGGCAGAGAGGCTGAGGCCTTCCCCTGATAAGAACATAGGAAGAGCCCTGGTGGATTAGACCAGTGCTCCATCTAGACATAAGAACATAAGAGACACCAATGTTGGATCAGGCCAAAGGCCCATCCAGTCCAACACTCTGTGTCACACAGTGGCCAGAAATACCAGTGCCACCAGGAGGTCCACCAGTGGGGCCAGCATCCTGTCTCACACATTGGCCAACCAGTTCCTCTGGAGGGCCAGCAACAGGGACAGAAGCTTCACTAGAACATAACAAGAGCCCAGCTGGATCAGACCAATGGTCCATCTAGTCCAGCATCCTGTCTGACACAGTGGCCAACCGCTTCCTCTGGAGGGCCAACAACAGGGCAGAGAGGCCGAGGCCTTAAACATTACAACATAAGAGAAGCCATGTTGGATCAGGCCAGTGGCCCATCCAGCCCAACGCTCTGTGTCACACAGTGGGCAATACCCAGGTGCCATCAGGAGGTCCACTAGCAGGGCCTTCCCCTGATGTTGCCTCCTGGCACTGGGATTCAGAGGTAGACTGCCTCTGAACATGGCTCAGACACAGGCCTAGGGTTGCCAACTCCAGGATGGGAAGTTTCTGGAGATCTGGGGGAGGAGTCCGGGGAAGTGGGTGTGATCCCACAGAATCTGTCCTCCAAAGCAGCCAACTTCTCCAGCGGAACTTATCTCTGTAGTCCGGAGATGCTGTAAATCCAGAAGAACTCCAGGCCCCACCTGGATGTGGCAACCGCAGGTACAGCTGGTGGGCATGGGATCGCTGGCCGCTTTCTCCTGAGCTGCCACACCCCTCCAGCTGGGTCTGAGCCCACTGGCCTCATCAGGTCACGCCTGGGCCGTTCTTTACACTCCAGTCCATTCTCCGTACCCATTTTTTTCACCACTCAAAATGTGCTAGCTGGAAGAAGCTGAGCTTTTAAGACGAGGCTGAGAAAATCAGGACCGGGGAGGGGTGGAAACAGAAATAACTATATTTCCAGTAGGCTTGACCCGACCAATTACCCCCTTGGAGGAGAATAAATTGAGTCTCGGGCAGTTTCTTGCATGTAGGTCACGCAGAGGAAGACCCTACGAACCAAGGGCTTGACCTGCAGGGATACTGCAGACCTGATGACATGTTCTTGACAGTCCGGGGGGGGGGGGGGGTGGGGGGGGCGCACCTATGACAGCCTCTCTGGAACCATTGACCCCAATTATCTCCATTTTGGCAAGCAAGCAGAACGTTTTTTTCCAGCCGGTTCCTCCCAATACAGTGAATCCGTATTCCAGGGGGTTTTAAAACAGACAGGGGCGAGAAGGGCGGAATGGCGAACGACCATTCGGATGGTTTCAAATGCTGGCTGGGACTCACAAAGCTACTTCCAGAAAGCTCACGGAAGTCCGCTGGGGACGTTCTTGTTTTTCTATGCTGGGGAAAGATGCCTGGATGGAGGCCTTGGAGAGATGATGCTACTCAGCGGAGATCATTCTGAGGCAGGGTGGGCCGATGGGTCTGTTCTGTGTGTATTGGCTTTCTGATGTCACGTGAGAACGTAGGAATTGCCCTACAGGATCAGAGCGATAGTCTGTCTAGTCCAGCCTCCTGTGTCACACAGTGGCCAACCAGTTCCTCTAGAGGGCCAACAACAGGGCATAGAGGCAGAGGCCTTCATGAGAACATCAGAAGAGGCCTGCTGGATCAGACCAGTGGTCCATCTATTCCAGCATCCTGTCTCACACAGTGGCCAACCAGTTCCTCTGGAGGGCCAACAACAGGGCATAGAGGCCGAGGCCTTCATAAGAACATCAGAAGAGCCCTGCTGGATCAGACCAGTGAGGGTCCATCTAGTCCAGCATCCAGTCTCACACAGTGGCCAAGCAGTTCCTCTGGAGGGCCAACAACTGGGCAGAGGGGCTGAGGCCTTCCCCCTGATGTGGCCTCCTGGCCCTGGGATTCAGAGGCTTAGTGCCTCTGAATGTGGAGGTTCCCTCTCAGTCACCAGGGCTAGTAGCAAGCTGAGCCCGGCAGTCAATACCGTGTCCGTCATTTCCAGTCTGTTTTTAGTGCATGTGCAATCACCTGTGTTACACCAAGCCCCATTTTCTCTCCAGCCTGGGCGCATTCATTTCAGGGATCTTTGGGAGCAAACTGGTGGTGGTGGTTGTTCTTTATTCTTATCCATTTATTTATTAAATTTCTAACCCGCCCTCCTGCCGAAGCGGCTCATGGCGGCTTACATAAAGTCTTAAAACCAACGTACAATATAAAACCAGCAAAACAACACAAAATATCATTCCGTAAGAATTCCAATAAATACAGTTCAACTATTTAAATACGATGGCATCGTATCATAAAATACAAGTGTTATAAAGCCCTCTGAAGCCATATATGGTCAGGGACCTACTTACCTAAGGGACCACCTTTCCCCACGTTCCCCAGAGAGCACTAAGATCGGGGTCCGAAAACCGTCTGGCCCCTCCAGGCCCTAAAAAAGCCAGGCTAGCCATGACGAGGGCCAGGGCCTTTTCTGTGGCGGCCCCTTACTGGTGGAATGAGCTCCCAGATGACATCAGGGCCCTGTGGGACCTTTACACTCCCGCAGGGCCTGTAAAACGGAGCTCTTCCATCAGGCTTTCAATACTATGGCCCTGGTCCCAATATCGGCACCAAATTAATAACCAAAAGGCTGGCAAGAACCCAGACTATGGTGGCAGTTGACAATCTGGATGTCGAGAGAACGCCGCCATAATTGATTAGCACTTATGCTTACTAGCTCCTATGATCTTATACGTCATGATTTTTATTTAAATCTTGTGTTTTAATATATTTTGCTGTTTTAACACACACACACACGTTCTGTAAGTCGCCCTGAGCCTGCCTTGGCAGGGAGGGCGGGATACAAATTAAACAAACAACAGCAACAGGAACAACAGGAACAACTTTATTGTTGTTGTTGTTATTATTATTATTAGATTTATATCCTGCCCTCCCTGCCAAGGCAAGCTCAGGGCGGCTTACACAGTATTTATTGCACAGATAAAACAGAAAATTGCATAGTCAAGGGGGTTGCATACCTTTCACATACTGTAAAAGCCTGGTTAGAGTGGGACTGGCGGTGAGAGGACAGACCTTGGTACAGTAATGTAACTCGTGGTGGTGGAAGGGGACTTACGGAGGCCCCACAGGGTTTGCAAGGCAAGAAATGAACAGAGGCGGTTTGCCGTTGCCTGCCTCTGTGTAGAAACCCTGGGCTTCCTTGGTGGTCTCCCATCCAAGTACTCACCAGGGCGGACCCTGCTTAGCTTTTGAGAGCTGACGAGATCCATCTAGCCTGGCCCGTCCAGGTCAGGGCAGTGTAATTGATAGGGATTTTTTCCCTCCCTCACCTTGGTTGGAAGCAAACAAGGGAAGAGGGTGGAAATGGCCTTTCATGAGACTTTGGGTCCAGGGGGAAGATTTCCCTCAATACCCAAAGATTTTAAGCACCAGTTGCATTTAAGCTACACTCCTAGCAAAAAAAAAATGAAACTAGCAAATGCCACCAGTTCACCTCAAAGAGAGGAAATTTGCCTTGAGCTTCCCAGAAGGACAGTCGGTAATTCACAGTCAAGAAGGCAGTAAAATGCGAGGCCTGATCTCTAATGCAAACTCTGGAAAACTGAAGATGACACCCTTAATGCTTAGCTTCCTTTGAAAGCCATAAATAATACCCCCCCCCCCAGCTAGTCCTCACGGTTGCAGGAAACACGCTAGCACAGGATCCTCTGATCTTGGCTACAGGACAGCACCAGGTTCTCTGATCATCGCTATATGACCACACTGTGTTGGGATCCCAAGCATCGAGAATAAATCCACGTTTTAAAAGCAAGATTTTATTTCAAAGCATTGGAAGATACTCAAACACGTTCTTTGTTAGAACTGACTACAAACGGTTAGGGCAAGCATAATAAAGGGATTTGAAACAGGTACATAACCAATAGGTCACCTTCCCGCTGGCGGGTAAGCTAAAACGGGTTCGCGCTCATTCCCTGAGAACCAGGCTATCTCCAGACATAACACAGGTGCAGTTCCCAGGCTCTAAAAGCAACAAGCTGGCAGTGAAGCGAACTCCCCCAATACATCCTCCAGTTGTTTGGCTTAGGCATTACAGCAGAAGAGAATACTAGCGAACAGGCAGGGGGGGGGTGAGCAACTGTACAAAGACACAAACAACACAGAACACCATGGCAGCTTGCTGACACACTGGAGTATCTGGTCCTGACTGTATGACAGCTCTGGATTCTCTGGTCTTGGCTATATATCAGCGCCAGATTCTCTAATCTTGGCTATATGACAGCACCAGTTCTCTGATTTTGGCTATAGGACATCACTGGATTTTCTGACCTTGCAGCTAAAAATAGCACCAGATTCGCTGATCTTGGCTATATGACAGCGCCAGATTCTCTGATCTTGGCTATATGACAGCACCAGATTCTCTTATTTTGGCTACAGGACATCACTGGATTTTCTGATCTTGCCACTAAAAATAGCACCAGATTCTCTTATCTTGGCTATATGACAGTACTGGATTCTCTGATCTTGGCTATAGAACAGCACCAGATTCTCTGGTCTTGGCTACAGGATAGTGGCAGATTCATTGATCTTGGCTATATGAGTGCTGGATTCTGTGATCTTGGCTATAAGACAGCGTCGGAGTCTCGATATTGGCTATAGCATACTACTGGAGTCTCTGATCTTGGCTACAGGACAGCGCCGGAGTCTCTGATCCTGGCTACAGGACCGCAATATGCTAAAGACACAAAGGTGCCCGCTGTGAAGCGCAACAGAAAACCTCGGGCAAGTTTTGGGGGCAGCCTGGGAGCAATCAGAGACCGTGTCCCGCTGTTGCCAAGCAACCAAGAGAGGCTCAGAGGAGCCGTCAAAGAGGCCGGTGAGCTGGGAGAATGGAAGCCGCACGCAGGGATGGGGCCGTTGTCCAAGCGGGTGTGCGTGGGAGGGGGAAAGCAGCACTGGGCAGGGAGCCTGCTAATTCATCCTCTTAAAGAAAAGAAAAGGTGGCAATGCAATTTATTCAGACAAGATCACCAGCTATTGGGGAAGGGGAGGGTCTGATTGCTGAGGATTTGCTAGGAAACAGGGACCTGGAAATGTGATAAACTGTGACAAACGAGTGAGTCTTGTTAGCTTATTTATTTGTCTGTATATGTGTGTGTTAAATACCCTCAGGCGGGGTCATTTCCTGCAGGACCGCACAGGAGCGGAGCTCCGGCAGTAAGGAGCTTTTGTCTTCCTTCCTTCCTTCCTTCTCTCATTCTTTCCCTTTCCCTCTTTATTTCCTACTCTCCCTCTTTCTTTCCCTTTCCCTCCTTCTTTCCTTCTCTTTCTTTCCCTCCCTCCTTCCTTCCTTCCTGCCCCCCCCCCGCTAGCAATCCAAAACAGTCCAGTGGCACCTTTAAGGCCAAGGTTTATTCAGGTACAAGCTCTCCCTTCTCTGCTAGGGCAGATCTACACGTCCCCCCCCCCAACAGCTCGCTATCCAAAACAGTCCCGTGGAGCCTGAGCGGTGGGTGTTGCCTTCTGACACACTTCCGGTGATGTCGGGGGGTGTGGCATATGCAAATGTGTTATGCTAATTAGTTATGCTAATGAGCTCCTGCACCTCTTTTTCTACGAAATGACCTGTCCTCAGGTCACTTCTGACTTAAGGCAAGCCTATGAATTAACATCCTCCAAAATGTCCTAAAATTAACAGCCTTGCTCAGGTCTTGCAAACTGAGGGGCGTGGCTTCCTTTTTTTTTTTTTTTTAACCACTTTCATTTTCATAACAAACAAACATAAAATTGGGGTACAACATTTCAATCTTTCTTTTCCTCTATTAAACTACCTCATACATTAACTAAATATGGGCCCCGTTCACACGGCAAATTTGCCGTGGGAGAGCCACGGGTGGTGGGCGGATTATCCGTGCGCAATCACACCCCAACATCTGGAAAGTGGAGCGCAACCGTGACCAACCCGTGGCTTACTGACGAAAGCGCGCAATAAAAAAGTAGTACCACCAAAGTACTGGCAAACGGTTTGCCACGGGCTGCCTCCGGATGCCTGCGGTGTGATCGTGCTGGCGTGTGGCTTTCCCCTCCGGCCCCTCGTTTACGTGCCGGCGCCGAGGGAAGGACCCGTGGTGTGCCGCCGGCGCATCTGATCACATAATCATGGATCAAACTGCGCCGGGGCAATTTGCCACGCCTCCCCCCCGCGATATCCGGCCCGTGTGACCGGGGCCCTATATCATTTTCCCACCTACTGTTATCATACAATATTTGCAAATATAGAGGTGTACAGTTTCTTTCATTCTGCTAATATAGATTTTGTCTAAACATATTGTTAAGTTCTTTCTAGGCATAGTTCTTTATTTTCTTCTGGATATTAATGTAACGGTCTTACTCCATTATCAATCTCAGAAATTCCCTCAGAAATTTCCCGTCCCTTTTTGTAGCTTTCCTCTTCTTGATTTTCTTATTTCTCCTCTTAAGTTTTAAAGTCTTAATCCTGTGTCTTTTCCCCCTTCTAAGTGTAGAAATCTTCTTAGTATAAACATCTGTACTCAATCTTTAGAATATTTTGTGGATCCAAGTGTTGGTTTCTTTTGTCTCTCTGAGGTGAGGGCTGTTGGCTTCTTTGAGGGAGTCCATCCGTCTCAGGTTGGGGCTTCCTCTTCCCCACTGACTTTAACTTTTCCTAGCGTTATTGTCTTTTTGTGCAGTTATTTATGTATAACTATCCACATTGGGACTAAGAATCCCAACTTCAAGTACAGGCTAAGGGGGTCTAAACTCGAGGTCGCAGTGGATAGCTCAATGAAAGTATCGAGTATGGTGCAGCGGTGATAAGGGCAAACTCTATGTTAGGGATTATTAGGAAAGGGCCTGAGAACAAAAAAGCTGAGATTTTAATGCCCCTGTATAGATCTATGGAGGAGCTGCGGTGGCTCGATTGGTTAAGACGCTGAACTGCAGGCTGTGGAAGGCCGGTAGTTCAGCAGTTCGAGACCCAAGTGCGCCGCATGACGGAGTGAGCTCCCGTCTCTAGTTCCAGCTCCTGCCAACCTGGCAGTTCGAAAGCAAGAAATTGCAAGTAGATAAATAGGGACCACTTCGGTGGGAAGGTAACAGCGTTCCGTGCGCCTTGGTGTTTAGTCATGCTGGCCACATGACCACGGAAACGTCTTCAGACAGCGCTGGCTCTTCGGCTTTGAAACAAGAGATGAGCACCGCAACCCTAGAGTCGGATTCGACTGGCTTTCGAGCCTTTACCTTTTTATAGATCTATGGAGCGGCCTCATTTGGAGTCCTGTGTCCAGCAACCTGCCTCACATGGTGCTCAACCAGTTCTGCTGGATGGCCAACAACAGGGTGCAGAGGCCAAGGCCTTCCCCTGATGTTGCCTCTTGGATCTGCGATTCAGAGGTTTAGTGACCCTGAATGTGGAGGTTCACCTCAACCACCAGGGCTAGAGCCACTGATACTTATCCTCCATGAATCTGTCTAATCCTCTTTTAAAGCTGTTTATTCATGTGTCCATCAATACATCCTCTGGCAGTGAATACCATCTCTCTCCAATGCTCCCTCTAAGCTGTGGAGTCTTGTGAGCAAAAATTCTACTCTGTGAGCTACTGGCATTAAAGTTGTGAGCGAGCCATTTGGCTGCTGCATAAATCAGTTTGTTCTGGAGTCTTCCCTTCCTGAACTAAGACAAAAAAATGTGTGAGCTGGAGGCTAAAAAACGGTGAGCTAGCTCACACTCACTCAGCTTAGAGGGAACACTGTCTCTCTCTCTCTCTCTGTGAAGTCATATTTCCTTTTGTCCGAAATACTGGCTTGCAATTATTTCTGTAAACGCCCCCCCCCAACGAACATTTTATCCATGCTAAAATTGTGCCTCTGGTTTTTAAGCAGTATGGAGGGAGAAGAGAAGAATGCAAGTTTTGCAAAGATCTGCCCTTAAGTTACTCACCTCATGAATTAGGCATTTGTCTATGAGCTGTAAATAGGAGCTTATGTTCTCCTCATCCGGTCTGGAGACAAGGAGCTGGGTACACACTGCAAAAAAATTTTTAAAAGAGGAGGATGGGGAAGGGAGAGAGAGAAGCGGAAGGAGCCGTTTAGTCACTGGGGGACTCGGCATCAGCTTGACCCTTTAATTTAAGAATGGACTCAAACAATAATTCCTCCCGCCCCGTGCAGTGTGACATGAAGAAGGGTATGACTATGAATGGAGCAACCCTCCAGAGAGCCGCAGACACACAGAGCCTGCATTCCATTCATGCCTTTCTGCGTTTCGCTCCATATTTTGCTCTCTCTCGTCGCAGCGTCAATCTGGAATAAATCCATTTAAATCTATTTATAAAAAAAGAAGCAGCTGAGAGAGACCACTGGAATAAGTCAGGTGTAGGGGTGTGCAACCCCCCCGTTTTTTCCGATTCAGGTCTATTGGAGCCAAAAAATATCTGTATCCCCGAACATTCCCCAGGACCAGTATTGGTATTGTATTGGTATTCGGGTAAATATTTGGGAAATCGGAATTTATTCAGCTCCACTATAACCTATTGGAACCGTCCCCATAGGGTATAATGGAGAATTTCACTTGCCAAGTCTTACCACCACTGCTTAAAGTTTAAGCCTTCAGTTCACTCGCCAAGTCGCATCACCGCGGTGGCATGACTTGGCGAGTGAACTGACAAGTCTAGCCGCACCCAACTAAAAGCCAATTAATATCAGTTTTTATTCGGGTGTGGTTATTTCGGTAGCCGGATCAGATTGTCTGATCTGTATTTGGCTGAATAGATACCTGAAATGACATTTTATGTATCATTTCAGGGGGCAGTCATGTTGGTCTTTAGTAGAACATTTAGATTTCGGGTCCAGTACCACCTTGGAGAGACTGACAATATTTCTGGGGTATAAGCTTTTGAGAGTTAGAGTTCCCTTTGTCAGATAAGAACATAAGAACATAAGAGAAGCCAACGCTGGATCAGGCCAATGGCCCATCTAGTCCAACACTCTGTCACACAGTGGCCAAAAATAGCAGGTACCATTGGGAGGTCTGGCAGTGGGGCCTTGACACTAGAAGCCTGTTGCCCCCCCCCCCCAGGCACCAAGAATACAGAGCATCACTTGCCCCAGTCTGAGAGTTCCTCTCAGAAGTTTATACCCCCCCCCCCAGAAACCAACCAGATTTTCAGGATATAAGGTTCCGAGAATCAAAGATATCTGATGAATGGAGCTTTCACTGTTGGAAGCTTATAGAATGAATGTCTTGTCTGTCTCTAAGGTGCTACAGGACTTGAATCTAACCATTTTATTCATGCGTTTTGACTACTGAGCTACAGACCTTAACTAGCTGATGGAAACAAAGGCCTGACTTGCAGGGTCAAGTTACTTCAAATGGATTGATGAACATAAGAAGAGCCCTGATGGATCAGGCCAGTGGTCCATCCAGTCCAGCATCCTGCCTCACACCCAATGGCCGACCAGTTCCTCTGTAGGGCCAACAACAGGACAAAGAGGCCGAGGCCTTCCCCTGATGTTGCCTCCTGGCTCTGGGATGCAGAGGCTTACAGCTTCTGAATTTGGAGGTTCCCCTCAGTCCCCATGGCTAGTAGCCATAGAAGAAGAAGAGAAGACGAGATTGGATTTATACCCCGCCCTTCCCTACCTGAAGGAGTCTCAGAGCAGCTTGCGATCTCCTTTCCCTCCCCCTCCCCACAACAGACACCCTGTGAGGCAGGTGGGGCTGAGAGAGCTCTCTCGAGAACTGCTTGTGAGAGAACAGCTCTGAAAGGACCTGTAACTGACCCAAGGTCACACCAGCAGCTGCATGGGGAGAAGTGTCGAATCAAACCCAGTTCTCCCAGATTAGAGTCTGCGCTCCTAACTACTACACCAAACTGGCTCTCTTATCCTCCGTGAATCTGTCTAATCCCCTTTTAAAGCTCTTTATTCTTATTCACTGCATCCTCTGGCAGCAAATTCCACATTTTAATCACTCTCTGTGATTCAGTGCTGCTACTGAATCTACTTTCCCCAAACCACGGGGGACAGTAAGGGCAGAGCAGGCCAGACCTCGGGGACAGCTCTTTGGCCAAGCCACCCGAACAACTGAACCCATGGAGCCGTTCCACCACATGAACACCTTAGACTGGCAGTTTCCCATCACCTCCTGCCTGGTTCTTTTTTAACTGGGGATGCCGGGGACTGAACCTGGAACCGTCTGCATGCCAAGCAGAAGCCCTACCACTGAGCCAAGGCCTTTCTACTCGGAGATACAGAACAAAGGCAAAGACAATACGGACAAGACCCAGCAATTCAAAGAGGCTCCTATAGTGACGACCAGGGCTATTTTTGGGCAGGAACGCACAGGAACAGAGTTCCGGCTGGCTCCCAAGTTGGCCACGCCCAGCAGGAACTCATTAGCATAATAGGCCACACCCAACAGCAGAAACTCATTAGGATTGGCTACATTCGGGGTGTGTGGCCTAACATGCAAAGGAGTTCTTGCTACCAAAAAAGGCCCTGGGTTTTGACAACAAACAAGGTAAACAGAATAAGAAGGGAAAGGTGGATGTCTCTGGATGAGCACACTTCTGGTAACATGGGGGTGCGGCCTAATGTGCTAATGAGCTGTGCTGGCAGGGGTGTGGCCCAATATGCTAATGAGTTCCTGCTGTTGAGTGTGGCCTATTACGCTAATGAGTTCCTGCTGGGCTTTTTCTACAAAAAGAGCCCTGGACGACTGCGATTAAAGCTGGCGACGTCAACTCGGTTCGATCCCCATACCTGAATCAATGTTCATCCACCCGTCTTCCCCGGATTCAACATGGCCGACAAGTGACAGGAGTAGAAGCAGAGGAAACGAAACGGCGACCCACCTTTCCCCATCACCTTTGTAAACTGTCCCGGGATGTCACCTTCCGGTAGAGGGGCCCCTCCGGATTCTCCCTCGCAGCCCGGCAAGTGGTGATGTTGCATCCCCCCCGAGGCGGAGTCCTTGCAGTCCGACCCTTGGCCCTCTGAGCTGATCAGGGAGCCCGGGTGACGGGGCTCGGGGTCCCGGCCGTGCTCGTCCACCGTCGAGTTGCACGAAGAGTACGCTTTGATCGGGGTGAGGATCATCTGGTGAAGCTCCTGGAGGGGGACGCGCAGGTTGCCTCCTTCCAGGATGTCCTGGAGGTCGTGCAAACGCTGAGATGTTAGTACCTGAGATCCCACATCGTTCTTCATCCTGTTCCTGAGATTGTTTGTGCCAGCCAAGGAGTCCTAGACTCGGAAAGGGGCCCTAGAGCTAGTTTCGTGTAGTGGTTAAGTGCGCGGACTCTTATCTGGGAGTGCCGGGTTTGATTCCCCACTCCTCCACTCGCACCTGACTGGATGACCTTGGGCAAGCCATAACTCTGGCACAGCTGTTCTTGAAAAAGAGCCGTTTCTGTCAAGAGCTCTCTCAGCCCCACCTCCCTCACAGGGTGTCTGTTGTGGGGAGGGGAAGGGAAAGGAGTTTGTAAGCCGCCCTGAGACACCTTCGGGTAGTGAAGGGCGGGGTACAAATCCAATCTCTTCTCTTCTTATTATTCCAGCTCTCTGGCTCCATACTGGGAAGCCAAAGCTAGACTACTGCCAACAAATGGCTGTCCGTGCCTCTCCTTGAAGACCTCATACATGGAGCTGCCTTCTATTGAATTAAACCTAGAGATGTGAAGGCCTGGGGAAAAAAACGGGAAAATTCGGGGGGGGAAATGTTTCCCCCCTGTTTTTTCTCTGAAGCCTTTTTAAATTTTTTTCCGAAAAATTGGAAAAATTGAAAAAAGAAGAGAAAAGGGAAAAAATGATTATGGAACGTTTTATTTTAACACGATGAGTAAAATATTTGAAGACAAGGTGTTCAAATATTTTCCAAATCATTTGTAAAAATACATATGGTATCCGATGGATCTAATTTCTGTGCACTGAGGACAAGCAAGTTCTAGGTTACCAACTGAACTCTCCAATGCAAGAACAAGATGCATTTCTTCCTTTAGGAGGTGCTAGTGTCACAAGAAAAGAAAAAGGTTTCAGTTTTGTTTTTGCATGTGGATGGGTATCCTGTTTGTAATAATTGTTTGGATACACTATATTTTTAATATGCTAGTTGTGATAACTTCATGCCAAGTAAAAATGTCCATAGTCATATTTTATGTTCCTAAAGTAACAGAATGACTTTCAGTCTGGAAAAGAAAAAAGAAGCGCCAATGTAGCACTTTTTCAATTTTCCCAAAAATTTCTGTTTTTTTCGGGGTTTTTTCCCCGAGTTTCAGAATTTCCAGAAAGTTTACATCTCTAATTAGACCATTGGTCTATCAAGGTCAGTACTGTCTACGCAGACTGGCAGCGGCTCTCCAGGGTCTTGGGCAGAGGACTTCCACATCACCTCTTAGCCCTTCCAATTGGAGATGCCAGGGATTGAACCTGGGACCTTCTGCATACCAAGCACAGGCTCTTCCACTGAGCCACAGCACCTCCTTTAATAAATTAAGCTATCTTATACTGAATCATACCACTGGTCTATCAAAGCAAGCATTGACTCAGACGGGCAGCAGCTCTCCGGGGTCTCTGGCAGAGGTCCTTCCCATCAGCCACTGCCTGGTCCTTTTTAAAATGGAGATGTCGAGGACTGAACCTGGGACCTTCTGCATGCCAAGCAGAAGCTCTTCCACTGAGCCACGGCCCCTAGCCAGTGTGAGAGAGCCCATCCTATTCTCAAGTACTTGGTTTCATTACTGAGATTCTCCTGCCATTAGAAAAGGTCTCCTGATATCCCACCGAAATCTCCCCACCTGTAACGTGAGACCTAGTCTTGCCTTCTTGAGAATCCGAGGACCAAGGCCCTTCAGGTATGCTTAGCCCCCCAAGCAACTGATAATAAACTCAAGATCATGCACCCTCCTGGACTGAATCGAGACCTCAGTTTCCTGTTTCATTACCAATTCTGTTTTCTCCATGCCTACTACCCCTCTGCATATTGCCCCTAATCCAGTCATGCCTGCTATTGTCATTCAGCATCTGAAATCACTCCACTCTCCAAGATATAAGGACAGATGGATTCACTTTTCTACCTGTAATCTGAAGAAGTGAGCAGCGACTCACAAAAGCTTGTGCCCTGCCACAAATTTTGTTAGTCATTCAGGTGCTAAATGGACTCTTGATCTTTTCTAATAATAAAAGCAGTTAGCCTCGGGCAAGATTTTTTGAGAGGCAGAATAGAAATATCCCTAATGAATAAAACAATAGAATAAATAAAACAGTAAAATGACAGGAACGTCCTCCTGCTAGACTGCAGGGCAAGACGTTTGCAGGACAGAAATATTCCTAATAAATAAAACAATAACACGACAGGAATATACTCTTGCTAGACTGCTGCGTCAGCTGGCGGGTTCACGCTCTTGAAAAACCGCTGAACAGTTTATGAGCCAACGGGCATTAAGAACGGGAGAGATGGCCAGATCACCCCCACCTGCTTTGGAGGCCTCCAACCTGGTCGTTGGCTATTCCAGCAAGATGCGGACGAGATATCCCCTTCCATGCAATTTACATATTATTCTCATCTGCGGACACTCCACACTCGGCCTAACAACTGACCCGTGCTTTGGCAATGCTACCTGTTCCCTTCCCTGCACAAAACTCCCTCGATCCCTAGGCCTTGTGCGCCGACAAGAGTTTCTGTTTTTAAACCTCCAAGCCAGTTGAGAGTGTTTGTGAGCATTCCGTAACGGCTCCGTCACCAAACCGACGGCAAGCAAACGCGGTTAAACAAAGCCAAAGCTTTCGTAATCGATAGCTACAGAACATTCTGAGACTGCAGGCTGCGATTACACCTAAGGTTTCGCCCCCCTCTTGTCAGCTCTATTAGATTTCTGGGTAAAAGACAAACTAGTATTTTTCTCGGCAGATCAATATGTATTTAATTGTACAGCTTGTTGGCCTCTCTAGAGCCAGGGAATGTGACCTCGAGGGTTATCCAAAGCCAGCTCTGACTCCACAGACAGGTGCAGAATACCTGCTTCTGCGGTCATGCCCCACACCACCCAAGCTGAGTTCACGATGCTCTCGCAATCACAGCAAGACTTGGGCAGAGGCCAGTTGTCGACAGCTAACCCTGCAGCCATCGTTTTCTATTTCGCAGGGCACGAAGCAGCCGAATTCTCGCTCCTTTTGCATATTCCTGACAGCCAAATCGATACCGTATCTCAAACGCTACCAGGGAAGAGAAACGGGGCGATGACAGATGGAGAGTCGGCTACTGCCCAGGAATGACATCCACAAAGCAAACAAGTCGTGCCTTGGCCCTCAAGAGCAGATATTAACTCCAAGAGGGGTCCATTGCACCTTTATTACCTCCAGCGGGTTCCGAAAGTGCCGCCTGACGCTGCTAAGAGTGCTAAACAGACTGAACCAACCGCTCTGTAGCCAACTCGAGAGGCTTCAGACGAGGAAGGCAGGGAACTAACAACATAATTATGTTCATCCATGCAGTATTTGGATTAGAAAATGCTTGACGATCCCCGGTAGAGACTGACGGCTGAATGGCTGATTTGTGATTAGAGACCCAGCACAATGTAGTGGTTAGAATGTTGGACTGGGATCTGGAAGAGGCGGGTTCGAATCCCCCACGCTGCCTTGGGAACTTGTCAGGGTGACCTTGGGCCAGTCACACTCTCGCAGCCTCGCCTACCTCACTGGGTTGTTGTGAGGAGCAAATGAAAGAGAATTGTGTCAGCCATCTTGGTCCCCACTGAGGAGAAAAGGTGAGGTATAAATAAAGTAAGTGAATTTTAAAAAAAATCAGGATTCCCTCTGCCAGACACCTTCTCTGAGTAATTTCCTCTTCCCCTGTGCTTGTGGACTACTTCTTCCGCCACTCCTTCCTCTCTAGTGTCCATGCGAAAGGCATTCGAACACCCGCTGGTTCTGCTCACTTTCTGCTCACCAGACTGCAAATGGGGAGCCAATTTTCAATGGTCTGTTCGCCGACCCGTTGGTAGCTGCTTGGTGGGTCATTTCAGCTATTCCTTCCTAACAGGACAGTACACACAACTGGCTTTTTTGCAAGTGTCTGTTCTCACACAGCCCGACCAGGTTCTACGCTTCTTCGTTCCTTGCTGTGCTGCTGTTCCAAGATTGGCGCAAACCTGTTCGGCAGCCATTTGAGTCGTCTGGTGCAGACCAAACAAACTGGGTGATTGGCTTACGGCTGATTTTCCTGATCAACTATTGTAAGTTTGACTGTCAAACACCTTCATGGGAAAATCTGCAGCATTCCAATCCCTATTTACTCATTTACATCATTAATACCCCACTTTTTCTCCCCACTGGGGACCCAAAGTGGCTTACAATTCTCTCCTCTCCTCCTTTCCCCCCCTCTCAACCCTGTGGGGTAGGTTAGGCTGAGAGTCACGTGACTGGCCCAATGCCACCCAGTGAGCTGCTCTGGCACAGTGGAGATTCGAACCTGGGATTCCAAGATTCTAGCCACTACACCACACTTCTTCCCTCCATCGGCTGCCTTGACATATTTTTATTTAATTTGACAAACTTTAGAAGAAAAGGAGATTGGATTTATACCCCGCCCTTCATTACGCGAAGGAGTCTCAGAGTGGCTTACGATTTCCTTTCCCTCCCCCTCCCCACAACAGACCCCCTGTGAGGTAGGCGGGGCTGAGAGAGCTCTTTTGAGGACTGCCCTTGAGAAAACAGCTCTGAGAGAACTTGTGACTGACCCCAGGTCACACCAGCAGCTGCATGTGGAGGAGTGGGGAATCAAACCCAGTTCTTCCAGATTAAAGTCCACGCTCTTAACCACTACACTAAAAATTTATATCCCACCTTTCTGCCCTAACAAGGGCGACCACTGCCTTCTCCTTTTCTAGACTCCCTCCTGCGTCCTCTTCCCCTCCCTCCCTCCTCTGCACTCCTCGTTTTCCACACTTCTTTCTGGCCCATCTCTGTTTCTTCTTCACTACAGACACAGAACATGCCATGACATCAGAGCACCTCAGCCAATGGCTGCGCAGGCATGGAAGACAGAAGCAAAGTAATGACTTCTAAGTCAACCCTTTGCATACAGGGGACCGGAGACAAAACCGTCCCTTAACTGCCAATACACATAACTGAAACAGCAAACATTGGGGAATTTCAGACAGGTGATATCTCCCGGTAGGGAACCGGTTCTCAAACGGGTTCTGGTCTGTCATTTCAGACAGAACCCGTTTGAGAATCGGTTCCCTACCGGAATGTAACTGCCATTTCACACACAAAAGCTTCAGTCCCGTTTAGGAACCGGGACTGAAGCGTTTCACCTGTCAACGGGCGATCTCCGGCTGTTTTTTTTTTAACGTTCGCTTTATAGCATTATAGCGCTATAACGCTGTAACGGTATAATGGAATAGCACTATATCAATCCCATTGGAATGCATGGAGTGTTTTGTTATACTGCTATAGCGCTATAGCGCTATAAATCGAACTTTAAAAAAAATCGATCACCCGCACGGGAAGAAAATGGCGGGAAAACAAAGCGGTGCATGTCTGAAATGCCAAACCGCTTCTGAATCGGCTGGTTTCCGGTAGGGGCAAGCTGAGTTGTCTTACCCTCTCCAAGGACTTGAGAAGGTTTTGCCTCTCTTTCAGCTTCTGGATACTTATCACAATTTTGTGCCTTGCGCCTTTGGTAACGTTCTGCAATGGCAACACAAAAAATACAACATTAGCGCGTGCGCACACACACACACACACACACACAGATCCTCAACCACAGGGATGCTGCAACACTGTTTTCAAGGCAGGGCCAACGAAAACGAGGAACGTCCAACAGGGCAGCAATGCTTAGTTAACAAATCAAAAACGTAACCAATTCATCTAACCCGGTGGTCTTTAACCTTCCCAGATGATCTTTAACCACAGGCAGCAGAACGGGATTCTCTGAGCTGCAAACATCTGGCAGGAAGTCACCTGTCATGTGACAGGAAGAGGAGGAAACTGGGCTCCTCAACCTGGCTGCGCTAATTAATTCTAAACCAATGAACCGATTCATCTAACCCCATTAATCTAACCCAGGCTATCTTAAACTGCAGGCAGCGCCACGGGATTCACTGCGCTGCGAGCGTCTGGCAGGAAGTCGCTTGTCACGTGACAAGGAGGACTCTGAGCTTCTCAACACGCCGGTGCTACCAAGAGTTCTTCCCCACTGCTGAGAGACCTCCCTTTGCCCTCTCGCTGCCCCTTTCGGCGTATCTGAGAAATGAGGCAAGGGGCATGGCACCCTCTCATCTCCGTGCAAGTGCACCAGCGGCAATTCCTTCCCAAAAAGCAGCCCCGGCCCCCCAAGATGGTGGTTCTGCGGAAGCTTGTTTCATAAGGGCAGCCATGTTGGCCTGCCGTAGACCAGCTAGACTAGTCCAGTAGCACCTTAGAAACCGACGGGATTTTCTGGGCATGAACGTTCGAGAGTCAGAGCTCCTTTGTCAGAGAGAAAGCGAATACCCCGAAAGTCTTGTCGGTCTCTAAGGTGGTAAAGGTAAAGGTCCCCTTGCTCGAAAGCCAGTCGAATCCGACTCTAGGGTTGCGGTGCTCATCTCCGTTTCCAAGCCAAAGAGCCAGCGCTGTCCGAAGACGTTTCCGTGTTCATGTGGCCGGCGTGACTAAACACCAAGGCGCACGGAACGCTGTGACCTTCCCACTGAAGTGGTCCCTATTTATCTACTTGCAATTTCTTGCTTTCGAACTGCTAGGTTGGCAGGAGCTGGAACTAGAGATGGGAGCTCACTCCGTCATGCGGCACACTCGGGTCTCGAACTGCTGGACTACCGACCTTCCATAGCCTGCAGTTCAGCGTCTTAACCACTTGAGCCACCGCAGCTCCTTCTCTAAGGTGGTACTGGATTCAAATCTAGCTCTTCTGTAGGTGCTTGAGACCTAGCAGGTGGGGTGGGGTGACTCAACCAGGGGCCACTCACAGGTTTCCAGTGAGACATTTAGTACAGCCCTGACACTTTTCACGGCTGGAGTTCATTGGTCGTCGTAGATTTTCCGGGCTGTATGGCCGTGGTCTCGGCACTGTAGGACCTGACACAGAGAGAACTCCATCTTTCTGCGTGATACCTCTGAGGATGCCAGTCGCAGCTGCTGGCCAAACGTCAGGCCCTACAAGGCTCTCATAAACTTTTGTTAAACTTTTTGTCTCTTTCCCGTGGGCTAGAAAATCTCTTTGAGTCTCTGGTGCCTTCTTGGATTTCACAGTGACCTACGCTTTGGCCTGGCCGTCTTGGGAGAGGCACCCATTCCTTGCCTAAATCTGCATGGCCGCCGACTGGACCAACAAGAGCAAACTTTGCTTTCAGGGGAAAGGTAAAATGTAAAGTTTTCCCCTTGCTCAAGAGCTAGTCGAATCCGACTCTAGGGGGCGGTGCTTGTCTCCGTTTCCAAGCCGAAGAGCCAGCGCTGTCCAAAGACGTCTCCGCGGTCATGTGGCCGGCATGACTAGACGCCGAGGCGCACTGTTACCTTCCCACCGAAGCAGTACCTATTTATCTACTTGCAATTTCTTGCTTTCAAACTGCTAGGTTGGCGGGAGCTGGGGCCAGAGACAGGAGCTCACTCCGTCACGCGGCACACTCGGGTCTCGAACTGCCGAGTTACCGACCTTCCGGTCTGCAGCTCAGCGTCTTAGAGAGCTGTTTAATTCATATACAAAGGTAACTTGATTTCATGCCTCAATTAAAACCCACGCAATCAATCAAAAGGCTTCTTTCGCCAGGATACAACCTGTTTTCACACACAAGAACACTTGAAGCGGCCTTATCCTGAACCAGACCATAAGTCCATCAAGGGCAGTGTGGCGTCCTCTCTTTAGGGAGGACTGGTTTTCCCTTTAAATGTGCTCTTTGCTTTTGTAAACGGGGTAGTTTCTGCTGCCAACAGGAATTTAAGGATTTCCAAACCTTCTCTCTGTTTCATTTGCTGGTAAGGTGACCTAGACTCGGGGCTTTTCAGGGATCTATGTGGTCTTGAGGAAAGATAGAACTAAATGCGGGGATAAACTTGAACCAAAGATGATTTATTGAAGCAAGAACAAAATATGAGGTTGGTTATTCTGTAACTATTTTGGATAAAGGGACTTGAAAATATGTCTATCAAATGTATCACACACAGAGTCTTTTTTCCTTTCCTTTTTGTTTGTTTTGACACTCAGTCCCAACATCAACAGGAGTCACTCCTTCCTATAGTCAGCCACACAGGCTAAGGACATATATACTGCACTCTTTAAGAACTCACTCAGAACTAACTGAACACTCACTGACCTAACTCTCTAACTGAACAATCCCAACTGATTTCTAATTGTCTCTCATAACTGACACACTGACACACCCACACAGATTCACTTCAAAAACCCCTCCCACACGCTGTCATCCACCAATCACAGCACATTTGTCTCTCTCAATCACTCTAGTCTACTAACCATGCACACTCTGTCATCCACCAATCACAGCACATTTGTCTCTCTCAATCACTCTAGTCTACTAACCATGCACTCCAACCAAGCATTTAAAGGCACACACACACTCATAAAACAAGGAATCATGACAGGCAGTATTGTATACTCGGGCTGGCAGCGGTTCTCCAGGGTCTCAGGCAGAGGTCTTTCACATCCCCTCCTGCCTGGATCTACAATGGAGTCCAGAAGCACCACAGAAACCAACAAGAATTTTGGAGTGTAAGCTCAGGTGAGCCAAAAGCCCCTTCATCAGGTATGTGATGAAGGAGTTTTGACTCTTGAAAGCTCATAACCCGAAAATCGAGTTGGTCTCTAAGCTGCTTCTGGTCTCCAATCTAGCTATTTTACTGCAGACCGATATGGCTACCCTCCGAAATGACCTGGTTCGGTTAACTGGAGACGCCGGGGATCGAACCTGGGACCTTCTGCCTGCCAAGCGGACGCTCTGCCACTGAGCCACGTGGCCGGTGTGAGCCAGCGGGAATTTCTCCTTTGCCCCTCTGAGACCTACTTGTGCCTCGAGCTGACACTCGGTCAGGGTCATCATTTCGTCATACGTCATCTGGGAGAAAAGGGCGGCGTACTTGTGGAGGCGAAGACTCTTCAGCCAGGCGGGAACATCTGCAAGCGAAGAGGCCGATTGAAATCGTTAGGTTTTGGAAGGCACGGCTGAGTGGCCAAATGTGCAGACCCTCGACGACTCATCGGTACAGCTTATTGGCCGACGTAGCTGGCACTGCAATATCCCCTCTAAGCTGTGGAGTCTTGTGAGCGAAAATTCTACTTCGTGAGCTCCTGGCATTAAAGTTGTGTGCGAGCGATTTGGCTATTGCATAAATTAGTTTGCTCTGGAGCCCTCCTTCCTGAGCTAAGATGAAAATCTGTGAGCCGGAGGCTCAAAAACTGTGAGCTAGCTCACACTGACTCAACTTAGAGGGAACACTGGCTGGCAGTACCCTACTGCCCTGCCCACCTAAGGGCAGCGCCTTCCTTCGGCTCAGGAAGACTTCCCCCAAAACAAGAGGATCTTCCACAAGACGGAGGGTCAGGAGCAGTGTTCCCTCTAAGCTGAGTTAGCGTGAGCTAGCTCACAGTTTTTTAGCCTCCGGCTCACACGTTTTTGTCCCGGCTCAGGAAGGGATGGCTCCAGAGCAAACTAAGTTATGCAGTAGCCAAATCGCTCGCTCACAACTTCAATGCCAGTAAGCTCACAAAGTAGAATTTCTGCTCACAAGCAGTGTTCCCTCTAAGCTGAGTTAGTGTGAGCTGGCTTACAGTTTTTTAGCCTCCAGCTCACACTTTTTTGTCTTAGCTCAGGAAGAACGGCTCCAGAGCAAACTAATTTATGCAGTAGCCAAATAATTTGCTCACAATTCTAATGCCAGTAGCTTACAAAGTGGAATTTTTGCTCACAGGACTCCACAGCTTAGAGGGAGCATTGCTCACAAGACTCCACAGCTTAGAGGGAGCATTGGTCAGGATGTGTTTGCTGGGAACGCTAGACTCAAGCCCAGTAGACCAACAAGCATGCCTTTCATGACCACCTCCTCTGGTACGTCCCGGGCAATGCTCCCTCTAATCTGTGGAGTCTTGAGAGCAAAAATCCTACTTTGTGAGCGACTGGCATTAAAGTTGTGAGCGGGCGATTTGGCTCCTGCATAAATTAGTTTGCTCCGGAGCCCTCCTTCCTGAGCTGAGACAAAAATCTGTGAGCTGGAGGCTAAGAAACTGTGAGCTAGCTCACGCTAACTCAGCTTAGCGGGAACACTGGACTCCCCGGGAGAGCGTTATGCTTTGCAGAGAACAACTTACTTGTGATCCTTGGCCCTAGGGAGGTCCCGCTGTCCTCGACCAGGGGCGGGGCCTTTTCAGTCATGGCTCCTAACCTGGTGGAGCTCTCTGTCGAATTCCACCAGGGCCCTGTGGGATTTTACGCAATTCCACAGGGCCCACAAGGCCGAGATGTTCCGCCAGGCCATTGGCTGAGGGCAGTGATGGTTCCATCATACATCCAGCACCAGTGTTCCCTCTAAGCTGAGTTAGCGTGAGCTAGCTCACAGTTTTTTAGCCTCCGGCTCGCACGTTTCTGTCTTCGCTCAGGAAGGGATGGCTCCAGGGCAAACTAATTTATGCCGTAGCCAAATCACTTGCTCACAACTTCAATGCCAGTCGCTCACAAAGCAGAATTTTTTGCTCACAAGATTCCACAGCTTAGAGGGAACATTGCCAGCACCCTCCTCTTTTTCTACGCCCCTGCTTTTTCGGCCTTCCCACCGCCACCCCGCCGCCCGCGGGAAGAAAGCACAACCTGGAGTGGGTTGGAGGCAGTGTTCCCTCTAAGCTGAGTTAGTGTGAGCTGGCTCACAGTTTTTTAGCCTCCGGCTCACACATTTTTGTCCCAGCTCAGGAAACTTGGCTGAGCAAACTAATTTATGCAGCAGCCAAATCGCTCGCTCACAACTTTAATGGCGGCAGCTCACAAAGTAGAATTTTTGCTCACAGGACTCCACAGCTTAGAGGGAGCATTGGTGGAAGGCAGTGTTCCCTCTAAGCTGAGTTAGTGTGAGCTGGCTCACAGTTTTTTAGCCTCCGGCTCACACATTTTTGTCTCGGCTCAGGAAGGGACGGCTCCAGAGCAAACTAATTCCTGCAGCAGCCAAATCGCTGGCTCACAACTTTAATGCCAGTAGCTGACAAAGTAGAATTTTTGCTCACAAGACTCCACAGCTTAGAGGGAGCATTGGTTGGAGGAAAATGTATATATTAGCGCCATCTGAGATTTATATATTGATTTTTAATTGTTTCTTTTAATGCTTCTAGTTGTTTGCAACGAACATGAAATTGAGCCAACTTCAGAGGACGGCGGAAGACAGGAAGGCCTGGCATGATCTGGTCCATGGGGTCGCAAAGAGTCGGACTCGACTGTGCGACTGAACAACAAAGTTGTTTTTTTAAATGATGTACATTGCCTGGAGCCATGTTAGGCGATTAAGAAATTCAATTAGGTGATTAAGAAATTCAATTTATTAATAATAAAAATAACTCTAGGACGAGCTACCACACATGGTTCCCCTTCTGATTTCACCCTGATCTTCACCTTACTGCCGAGACTCCTCTTGTATATCAGAGCAACAGACTTGACTCAACTCATTGGAATTTGTGGTTTAAACTGCCCTTTTGTATAGGTATAGGTGAATGGAACTGATACCGTCTTATTATGTTATAACCGTAGATGTATGTTAATGTATTGTTGGTGACTAACCGATTGGTTTGTAATTTCGGATTCTCTTCTGCGTAATGTTTTGCAGTTACTGTATGCTTTGGTATGTTATACTTGATCTTAATAAACATTTCAATAACAACAACAACAACAACAACAACAATAATTTTAAAAACCAAGATTTTGGGGGAGGGGGGGTGAGAGCTTTCGTAAGCCGCCCTGAGCCTGCTTGCGGGATAGGGTGGGATATAAGTCTCAAAAATAAACAAATGAACAAAAAAATATATTGAGAACTGAAGTTCCCTTTGTCAGATACAAGTTGGAATGGGAGACCCCTGTATCTCCGACTTGTATCTGACGAAGGGAGTTTTGACTCCTGAAAGCGCATATCCTGAAAATGTTGCTGGTCTTCAAGGCGTTACTGGACTTGTGTCCAGAAGTTCTACTGCAGGACCTTTGACAGTATCTTTAGCAAAGGTGACGTTTTTAATTTGTTGAAAGGATTTACACGCCACCCCTTGGCAATCGGCTTCCGGGGTGACGGACAACGGCATAAAAACGTCCTCTTTAAAAAAAATCACAAAACCAAGAACCAAAATAAATAAAATAGACAGAGATGTTGTTACTCTGGGGGTTGGGAGAAAACAACACACCTCACAACGAGATCCCAATGAAGCTACAAAATTAGACAAAGAGATAGACGGAATTTAAAACAAAACCTTTTCACCTGGCGCCCGGAAGCAAAAGGTTAGCCCGATGGATAGATGGGGAGAGCTTGAGCCAGGGATCCTTACAAAAAGGGCCCTTTTTCTAATGAATTACCCACCTCACTGTTGAAAGTGGGGCATGCCAAGAAGGATTTGGCAGATATTTTGGAGGGTAGGGAATATCGGCTCAGTGCTTACAACTCCTGCTGTCCAGATATTGAAAGGCATGTCTAGTTCAGATGGATCTACGTGGCTGGCAAGAAGGGGGGGCGAACTACCACTTTTGGGGGGCTAGTTACCCTAGGCTAGCCCTGACCTGGATGGATGGCCCAGGCGAGCCCCACCTCATCAGATCTCAGAAGCTAAGCAGGGTCAGCCGTGGTCTGTACTTGGATGGGAGACCCCCGAGGAACTTGAGGGTCCCTTTGCAGAGTTTTGTTCCTGCTAGCCATTCAGTCATGTTCGACTCTGGGCAATTCCGTGGGCCACCGCTCTCAATGTTTTCCAATCTTATCCTGTTTCTTTGAGTTGTTCCATGCTCAGGCAGCTCTCAACTTTTATGGTCTCTAGCCGCCGTGTTCTTTGGCGGCCCGGTTCCCTTTTGCCGCTAACCAGGGGTCATTTCGTAGAAAAAGAGGTGCAGGAGCTCATTAGCATAACTCATTAGCATAACTCATTTGCATAGGTCACGCCCCCTGACATCAGCGGAAGTGTGTCAGAAGGCAACACCCACCGCTCAGGCTCCATTGGACTGTTTTGGACTGCTAGCTATTGGGTGTGTGTGTGCAGATCTGTCCTCGCAGAGGAGGGAGAGCTTGTACCTGAATAAAACTTGGTCTTAAAGGTGCCACTGGACATTTTTGGACCGGGGGGAGCTCTGCAACTTACCTGGCTGCTTCTTGCTCTGACTGAGGGCTGCTGAGAGCAGGGGGCGGGGCTTGTTGCATGTCCCCGCCCCCTGGGCTCTTTACTGCCGGAGCTCCGCTCCTGTGCGCTCCTGCAGGAAAAGACCCCTGCTGCTAACCAATCCAAGCATAATTGCTTTTTCTAGTGAGTTTTGCAGAGGTAGGCAATGGGCAAACCACCTCTGTTCATCTCTTGCCTGGTATGCCCGATGGATGGGGTCACCGTGAGTCAGTTGTGACTAGACGGTACCTCCTTCTCCTCTTCCTTCTCCTCCTCCTCCTTCCAGTTGCTTTTCTGATCCTGGCAACTACCACAAAACACTGGAAGTGAATCCCAAGAAGCATCTTTTCAGATGGTCATTTCCTTATCTGCCCTGTGCTAGATGGCCATGGCTGTCCTGATCCCATCAGATCTCAGAAGCTAAGCAGGGTCGCCCCTGGTCAGTATTTGGATGGGAGACCAGCAAGGAAGTCCAGGGTACCTACGCAGAGGCAGGCACCTCTGTTTGTCTCTTTTCTGGAAAACCCTATTGCAGTGGTGGGGAACCTATGGCACGGGTGCCAGAGGTGGCACTCAGAGCCCTCTCTGTGGGCACGCGTGCCATCGCCCCAGCCAGGCCCAGACCATCATTAAAGTGTCGAATTCTCTGCCGAATAATTTTAAGTAAATGAAAGCATTTGGGATAGCTTTCCTTACTTGGTTTGGATCATCTTAAGTTAATGTATGAGTTGTTTTTTCTAAAGTAAAACCTCAGTATTCAGGTTAAATTGCTGTGTTGGCACTTTGCG